TAGAGGAGATAGACGTAGTTGCGGTGACTTTATATTAATTCACACCATCAATATGAGAATCCAAACTGATACCGGAAAGTTCGTTAGACAGCAGCTGCGGACTTTTCAAAGCCTTTCAAATCTATCAAGTTAAAATGAAGATCATGATGATGGGTAATGCAGATCATCTTGCGAGCGCGGCACCTGGATGGCACGGCTATTCATGTAACCCCTGCCCGCGTTTATAGTCATTTGTACCCGACGGATAATCCTTACGATTAACTGGAGTAGATTCTCTCACATAAAATCATAAATATTGTCAAGAAATATGGTTTGATTCATCGTCATCCAATTGTTCTTCGTGATGGAGGCGCCTCAACTGACATGCTTGTCGTCCCATACTAATGCGACGTCATTGTTGCGGAGTGATGGCCAGTAAGAGTAACTATCCAGCATCTGACATGCTGACTGATAGCGAGTAAATTGAAGCATAATTTTTATTTTTACGGCTATGTCAACAAATACAATATGTTGAAGCTTTAAAATGTTCTTCAAGGTTGACGAGTGAGTACCATTGGTTACGAGTCTCCTGAATTAGTTACTAACTCTCTTCTGATACGAATCGAGTATCTTCTCACCACTCGGCGAAGGTACAGGTGATAGAAGCTGCATGATAACATTATGATGAAGTTGTCAGGAAATATATCAGCCAACGCTACTGGTTGCCGGGTACGGAATTTGTGTTGCTAGGTTAGTTCCAATTCTCGGTCATGTTGAGACCAAGCTACTTCCCCACCCCAGAAGTTTCTAAAATTATATTTCGATCACATTGTGTGGAGGCAAAAAACATGTTGTTAGCCTGCGATATCTGCCCTGCGACTATCTTGTGGCCACGATGTCAAGTTTTCGGTGGATTTAAATACGGCGTATCATCGCTTCAGGGGAGACGCACCTGTCAGCGCCCATTTTGACAGGGTACATAAATATTGTCCTGTATTTCAAGGCCTAAATCAAGGGCACAATTTGATTTCATGTCACCCTCAGTTTCATGCAGATCGAACCTATACTCTAGTTCTTTGCCATCACTTTTGTGACCGCCGACCGCTGGAGGGCAAGACTGAACACCTGTATGCGGTGTCCTCTACGAACCTGGGAGTGAAATATTCTCCCAGAGCCAAGTTCAGTCAAATTTTGCAATACCGAACAAGTTGGCCCGCGTGGCAATGATTCAAACTACTCCACCATGTCAAATTTCACTCCCAACGAGTTCGACTCCCACCTAAGTCTCATCAAATCTACAGGGACGACTAAGTTCATCCTCATTCGAATGACCACACCTCTCTTCAACCTTCTCTGGCCACAGTTGACTACCAAATACACGCCCACGTCGATATTTACACCCGACGGAGGAGGCAAAGCGTGGCGCACAAATCTGGGAGACAGTTCTTTGGGATGGACGTGAGAGTATTCAGGACAAGTTCACAAGATTATGCAAAGGAAGGATACAAACTCGACGGGCGTGTTATTTTGAATTTTGGCAAGAGTTTTACGAATTGATCTTTGTGCGCGCCAAGACTTCGCTTGCCAGAGTGCACCTGACATTATAAAAATAAGCAAACGATGGAAGGTGTTGTGATCCGCCTCCTGGTGATGTTTTCTGGTATAGTTTGAGTAGGCTCGGCACCTACTCCACTTGGGAAGGAGACATCTCAGATTATATTCCGCGCGGAGAAAAGTTGATGGATGACGGAGGCATGTATGGATAGCTCAGGGTTTTTGAGACATTCCCCTGGGCGGGTATTCACGGATGAGGGTTGACTTGGGGTTAAGAAAAAGCCGCTTTAACTTCGCAGTGGTACTTCCAAATGAAATCTGAGGCATGAGTGCTCCTCTTGTAAATTGAGTCATTTTTTCTGTACTTTTCTTTGATATTGTGTCATAGCTAGATAGCTGCATACGCAACGAAAATCTGAAGAAAAAAAATACCGCTGACCGCTAAAAAATTAACGTGTTGCCACGGTGTCAAGTTTCTATAGTCTTTTAGGGGTATCTCAAGCACAATTGTCAAAATGACTGGGGTTGTATCCCTGTGCAAATTGATTAGAATGGCTTAGACTTCATACAGTCTCATATCTAGTTCGTTGACTTGATTTTCAAGCAGGGGTACTATCTAGTGATATTCCGTGAAAGTCAAAATTAATGGGGACGGTTTTCAACACCAAAGGAAAAGTACAATGGTCCTCATTTAAAATAAAAAATAAAAAAAATTCAATTGATATTATCTACAATTACACATCTATTTCAAAAATAATTGCTCTGTATGGCAAAAGCATATATTGAAGCCCTCAGTATGGCTCGCAAGTAAAATGAAAGCGTACTTCATGTTTTGTATAATTCTGCACCATCTCAATACCTTGCGAGCCCTCCATTTTCCTTTATCACCGCTATACATCTTTTGGTATGTTAACCACACTTAACGGAAGCTTCTTCCGAGCAATGCATCTGCTGTAACCTATTTTATTGAGGGCATTAGAAATGAATCCCTCACTGCATCCCCAGTGGCTGAAAGGTCCCATTGCTAGTTTCAAAAAGCACATCTGTCGATTTTTAGGAGATTCCCGGACGAAAGCCTCGAGCTCATCAACTTGTTTCGCGCTGAATTTAGATAAGCATCTAATGCGAAGCTGAGGATTCTCTGTCCCTCGAGCACATGCAAGTTGCACTTGCTTTCTTGTGAAGCTAAGTTCGTCGGACATATGTTGTAATGTCAAGGCAAGTCTTCTTTATGTTCTTATTTCAATACATTGATCGCGAGTTAGCTGCTTGCGAACTTTTGTTTCTGAAGCAGACTTTTCGTGAGACATTGTTTGCTAGAATAGAGGATAAATTGAAAGTGGTGTTAAGATTCAAGGACTGTGTAGGTTAGTGAGCCAAAAAGATTGTTGAAAATGTGTTTTTCTTATCGAATGTTAGAAAAAGACAATTGGACGATACTTCATGGCGAGCGGGGTAAGGAGGAGAGACATACTAACCTATTACGAGCTAGCCCAGCTGCGCCTATAGGGCTGATTCCTTAATCATCCCAGTTTCGAGTTTCACATTTTGGAACCTCGAGGCATTGTAGTGGGGCGTTGGCAGGGTTTTCAGCGAGTAAGTCAACATTCCTTAGGCATAGTCACCTTCCATATTGTTGTTAGCCCCCGTATTTGTGCAAATTTTCGAAAACATTTGCATGGCAGTTTATTTCTGAATACCATAGTTTACAGTAGGTCTTTCCTTCGTACTAAACTAAATTGGAGGAGGGCAAGACTGAAAACCTGTCAGTGGTGTCCTCTACGAACCTGGGAGTGAAATATTCTCCCAGAGCCAAGTTTAGTCAAATTTCGCAAAACTGAACAAGTTGGCCCAGGAGGCAATGATTCAAACTACCCCACCACGTCAAATCTTCGCTCCCAGAGAGTCCTATTCCTACCTAAGCCTCATCAAGTCTACAAGTACGACCTAGTACATCCTTATTCCAATGACTACACCTCTCGTCGACTTTCTCTGGCCTCAGCCGGTCACCAAATACACGCCCACGCCGATATTTATACCCGACGGAGGAAGCAAAGCGTGGCGGACAGATCTGGGAGACAGTTCTTTGGGATGGACGTGAGAGGATTCAGGACAAGTTCACAAGATTATGCAAAGGAAGGATATTGTCTCAACGGGCGTGGAATTCTGAAATTTGGCAAAGGGTTTTTACAAGTTGAGCTTTGTGCGTGCCAAGTCTTCGGCTGCGGGAGTGCGGGCGACACTGTAAAAATTGCCATGGTTGGATGGTGAGGTGGTACATCGTCTTGGCCGGTCTGCCAAGTAGAGTCTGGATAACTTGGACACATATCCCACTCGAGACAGTAGATCGCTGGTTCGAATCCGGCAAAACACAATCACATTTCTCGCGGTGCTGGTGTACATGGATGACGAAGGCATGCTTGGATAACCAAAGGTTTCGAAATTCCCTTTGGTGGGTACTAACGGAGGAGGGTGGACCGTTTGTGTAAGCAAGCACATCTCATAGTGGTATTTGCGAATGAAATCCAGAGTATGAGTGTCTCTAACGTCAAAAGAGTCATCCAACAGGTATACATAGCACCGGTCATGTGTCATAGCTTTATAGCTGAATATGCTCGATAGATTACGGTGTGGTTTCACGATCGATCGTAATGATTCAGTAAAGAGTTGTACGATTCTATGTTGGTCTAAAATGTTCATGATTGTCTTGTCTACCGCGCTGTACAGGATTCACCGCTTTACTGTGGATTCTGACTAGCGCATCCATGCTGAGGTCATCATGTAATCCCCACATGATGACACATCTACTTTTACGTCTTAGATAAACCAACACTGGCAACTTTTTTGTTTAGATGGCTCCCTAGACATTATCTTCTCATCCTCCTCATGTACAAGATAAAACTTCAAACAAATATGGTGACAAAAGAAAGGACAAAAGAAACGTAACACTATGGACCCTAATCCCCTTCACATCACTTCTGCACAAAACCTTCCACATGAATCGGAAGGTCATTGAAGGCGATGAAGCTTTGCGATGTTTCGGTTGGCATAACCTTCGTGTTGGAGTCTGCAGGACGTTCCCAACCATTAATCCAGGAAATTCCTGTGAACTGTCTTTGCTTGTATGGCTAGCGAAGCGCCACGATATCAATTGTGAGTTGTTTCTTTTTGGTCAAGTTGAAAATGCCCATCTTGGTAATTATGACTATGATCACTTGACATTTCGCCTCCCATGGGATATTAGGTAGCAAGCTTCTGTCCCTCAAACTGAACTAGAAAGACTGAAATACTCTGGGCGGTAGGATTCGTGCCATCGACTTCACGTTGTGTGATGATTTGATTCCTAATTCGACACCGTTCGTGTTCAGTATGCTTAGTTTACCAACAGTCATATTTTCTGCAGATATAGCACTCTTTTTCTACGGTTGACATTTCTTCTGTAGGTTAAATCTATCACCGTCATGGCTCTAGTCCTTTCCACGAAAGTAGGAGTCTTGGTGATGACTTTCAAGATTGTACTGCTTCAAAGACGGTGCTAGGAATATATTCATAGCTAGCTGGGATGCAAGTGCGTGATTAATAATTGATAATCGTATATTTGCGATCAGGTCTTCTAGGTTATCCGTAGCCTTATCGATAACTGCTGCTGGTTCAAATTTCTCGTTTGGTTCGTTGCGAGGAGGGAGATCAGTGTAAGGGTCATGTCGGAAATCTTGGAAGACTGGTAGTTCCTCATCACGAGGCATAGAAGGATAAACTGAGCTAGTACGGGATCGGAAAAGTCTTGGCTGTGGATCAAGTTGTCCTTCAAGAGCTGGTGAACAGCTTGGATCACGCTGTTCATACTCTATATTATGATACTTCAGAGTAAGATATGAGACTCTTGGGCTGCAGCCTATTGAATCTAGTAGCGTGCACTGTTTGTTGTCGGATATTTTAACAAATTTCGTCATCTGTGGTGGTGGTACAGTTGTCGTTGGTGGGGTTTGCGTTGCTTGAGAGTTTGTACCTGTGAGCAGTTGTAGCTTCTTGGGGCAGAAGCGTGATCTTGGCAGCAGATCAACTGTCAAAAGGTCGTTTTCTATCCATTCAGGTAGCTCTTCACATTGAAGGTCGGAGGCCAGCTGGCATGCAATTCCACCTCTAACACTGCCAGTATTTATACTTCCTCTTTGTAGAAGTAATCTGAAGATACATCTTACGTCTCGCTGAACTTTTTCGAACATTTCAGTGCTCCAGCCGTCGAAATCCTCACAAAAAGCACCCAAAAGTTCATCATCGTAAATTTTGGACGTCTAGTAACTGATAGCACACTATACTGCAAACGTTATGAGTTGCTTTGCAGTTGTGTTTTCTGCTTCTGTAATTAGCTGGCCCCAGTACTAAGCATCTTTTGCTTGAATCAAAATTTGGGGCTGTAATCCAAGCTCTTCTAGCACATGGAGCAGTGTCTCCCTCGGTATCATATCATCTTCGTCGTCTTGTATGCTCCCTCGAGTCTTCTGGAACTCATTGATGCTCTTAGGTTTTTCAAATGCGTATTCTACTCCTAGCTGTGGAATTGTTGGTGTCATGAATGCGCTTTTCACATTAGTAGTAAATCGTCATCCACGTAGTGTAGCACGCAGAGCCAGGGAAATGGAAACAGGTTAGTGATAAATTAGATACCACCGATCGCTACATTCACCCGTAGATCACACCTAAAAGAGACTAGCTACGGCGCTATCTGGAAGTATGTAGGATTGGTTAATTATCATGTAGATAACCTGTAACATAACATAACATAACATTAACAGAATAAGATACCATTTGCATCACGTAACATTTTATTGCCATAATCACCCAAGTATATTCTAAGCCCCCTGAGTAGTCACAACCATTTAATTGAAGATACCAAGTGTATACAACCATATACATCACCACCCTTGAATAGGTTATCAGCTCGGTAGCCTTAAGCCTTCAAACAATTCTCGCATCCACCAAAAATCTTCCCAAGTCAACCAACTTTCTTCCATCCATCAAACACCACAATCATGTCCAACGAAGAGAAAAAACCTTTCGGTTCCACCCTCACTATCAAAGGCGTCACACCAGCGAAACTGGATAATTATCCTGTCTTAACTGGTAGTGAAAACTATCAAGATTGGGCCGGAACCTGGGAAATAGGATTTGACATGATGGGTCTGAAGGAAGTACTAACTGGAGAAGTCACTAAACCAGAGAAGGCCTCTCCCGACTGGGAAGAGTGGAATACGGCGAACAAACTGCTTAGGGGATATCTGGTATCTGCGGTCGATCGTTCCTTGCGGAATATGATCACCAGCGAGCAAACTGCCAGAGATGCTTGGGCCAACATCAAGGCTCGCTTCGACAGGGAAACACCATCAACAACCCTATCGTTACTGCGAAATATTGTCGACCTTAAACTTAAAGAAAATGAGAACGTAGCCGACCACCTTAATAACTTCACCAACGCATGGGATCGTCTTTACCAAAGGTCCCTTACCTCCAAATCCAGCGTTGCACAAGCATTTCGAGATGTTACCTCATCTGATGAAGTCAAAGGCGCGTTCTTACTACTCTCACTCCCAAAATCCATGGACAACATCGTCGACTACCTTGCGACAAAAGACTTGATCAAATACCAGGACATACAACCAAAGCTCTTGGACCTCTCCGCTGATAGGAATGTCGGTGAAGCTGACAGCAAAGCCTATCACGCATCTACCCAAGAGGCAACAGAATGTTCATGGTGCAAAATCAAGAAGTTCAATTACAAGGGGCACACCTACAAGAATTGTTTCAAACTTAAGAAACATAAAGAACAACAGAAGGAAGCCAAGGCAAAGAAGAAGAGCGCTCCACAAAATGAAAATGCCAAAAGAGTCTCAGAACTAGATGACGAACTTTCAGACAGGGCTTTCATGGCCAACTCTTCTTCATCCACTCGAAAAGAATGGATCCTTGATACAGGTGCCACCACTCACATGACTGGCTGCATCGACGACTTTGAATCAGTTACAACCCTACAAAATAAAACTGTACGAGTCGCCGATAACAACTACACCCCAGTCACTGGCAAAGGTACCGTTCGTCTTCGCGCTTTAACCAGCGGCGGGCGATCGCGAAATATCCTTCTACACGATGTTCTTCTGGTGCCCTCTTTTGGACAGACTAGGTTGTTTTCATGGGAAAAATTAAGGGAGATGGGATATGAATTATTTTCTAAAGTCGATAATACATTCATAAGGGATAAAAACGGGCAAGAGGTTCTGTGGGCGACAGCAAGGGAAAAGTCGATCGTAATTATGTTAAAGAAATAAAAGCTCGTTTCTCCTCCTATCGTGAATTTCATGAAGCTTTAGGACACCCCGGTGTAACGACCATCAGAGACCCTTCTAAACTATACACAGACGGTCACAACCTCCCTTCACTACCCCAGACCTTTCACTGTCCCGCATGCGAAAAAGCTAAGTCCAAGCACATTGTTCCTGATCCAATCCATGAGGATCCCAGTAACGTTTTTGAAATTATTCACTCAGATCTTTCCGGAAAATTCTCTGTTCCCTCTTTAAACGGCAAGTATTACTACATCACCTTCATTGATGGAAAAACACGATTCTCCTGGGTCAGATTCTTACGAAATAAAGATGAAGCCGCCGAAGCTATCATTGACTTTGTCAAACTTATCCACAGACAATTCAATACAAAGATCAAGCGATGGAGGACTGACAACGGGGGAGAATTCGTGAATAAAACCATCAACTCATTCTTTAAATCTGAAGGAATAGTTCATGAACTTTCGCCACCCTACGAACATGAGAGAAACGGACTGGCTGAGCGATTTAATCAAACGTTAACTACAATAGCCAGAACAATGATAGCAGACTTAAGCCTAAACTTTTGGGCAGAAGCCATATCAACTGCCAGCTATCTTAAAAATCGCCTTCCTCATTCACGGCTACCTCATAATACTACGCCATATGAGGCCTTACAAGGCAACAAACCCACAATCAAACACCTTCAACCCTTCGGCAGAAAATGTTTTGTTCACATACACAAGGACTCGCGGCCCTCAGGTTCAAAGCTATTGTCAAGGGCAATCGAAGGAAAATTCATGGGCTACACGGAGAGCACTAAAATACTCCGAATATGGATCCCCTCTAAGCACAAGGTGGTAGAATCTCCCAACGTCAAGTTTGCGCCGCTCAATTCAGGGGAAGAGACTCAATCCCTTGAGACCACAAGCGAATCCAACTTTGAGACAAAAAACATCGAATCAACATCATTCCACCCAACACTTCCGCCCAAATTTTCATCACAACCAGTTGAATCTTCACCATCTATAGATAGCACCTCATCCTCATATCCGACAGAGCCACAAAACAAGCATGATTCTGAACAAAATTTACAGCAACTAGCACAGCTTGAAACATCAGAGAATCTCACTCAAGAAACATTATCAATCCGTAGCTGGCCGAAGCGATCAACAAAGCCTATTGAGAGATATGGTATATCCGCACACCACGGCTCAATTACACGCACTTGGAATGATAATGACTCTGAACAAAGTAGACTGGTTTCAGCTGAGAAATCTCAAATAGAAGTGGAAAATAATGCTGTGGCTCTGGCGGCAAAAAGAGCACCGAAACAAATGAGGAACCAAAATCTATAGAACATGCATTTCAACAACCAGATGGAAATCGGTGGCGCGAAGCGATAGATAAAGAATTGACATCTTTATCTCAAAATCATACATGGGATGTGACTGATCGACCTCTCAAAAGAAATGTTGTTGGATCCAAATGGGTTTTTAAAATAAAGCGAAATGCCGACGGCTCTATCGAGAGATACAAAGCGCGATTAGTTGCTCAAGGTTTTAGCCAAGTTCCTGGCCATGATTTTAATGAAACCTTCGCACCTGTCGCTCGATATGATAGCCTGAGGATATTACTTCGAATCTCAGCCCAAAACAAATGGATCCCTCAACAGATGGATGTAAACTCAGCATACCTCTATGGCATGCTAGAAGAGGAAATTTTCATGGAATTACCACCGGGATACCGTATAACCGGAAAATGTGCCAAACTCCGCAAATGTATCTACGGCCTCAAACAATCCGGCCGAGAATGGTACGAATGTATCTCGAATTCCCTCAAATTAAAAGGGTTCGAGTCAACAACATTTGACCCTTGCGTCTTCGTGCACCCAAAGGAAATCATATTCATTTCCATATACGTAGACGACATACTCATCTTCGGACCCCCAAACGACTTTCGACAAAACCTAAAGACATCGATCGGAAACGATTTTGATTGCAAAGATTTAGGAGACGCAAAGTACATACTAGGTCTCGAAATTACAACCAACTCATCAGGTATCCGACTGTCCCAACAAGGATATTCAAAAAGGGTCCTAGAACGCTTTGGCTTTACAAATGCTCACAAAGTTGGCACACCCCTCGATCCTAACGTAACCCTATTCAAAGGAACTGAAGAGGAACGTCTTGAGAACGTCAAAGAGTATCAAGCCATTGTTGGATCGCTAATGTATCTTGTCATAGGTAGTCGTCCTGATTTAGCAGATACAGTCACTCTTTTAAGCCAGTTTTCGTCCTGTCCAAACCAAACTCACCTGCAAGCCGCCAAGAGAACACTTCGATATTTAGCTGCAACAACCAATTGGGACTTATTCTACCCAAATGGAGCCTGTGAAGATCTCGAAGTCTATGCCGATGCCTCCTATGCAGACAACCCTCATACCCGAAGATCTACATCAGGTTATGTCATTTGGCTTGGCGACGCTGCAATCTCCTGGAGTAGCAAACAACAGCGGTCTGTAGCACTGTCTACTACAGAAGCCGAATATATATGGCCATGTCACTTGCTGCTCGCCAAATAACTTAGACCAAATATGGACTAGCATAACTGCGCCAAGAGTTTGAAACTGTACTTCACTCCGACAACAACGGAGCACAAGAACTTGCGAGAAATCCGCGGATCCACGAACGATCAAAGCATATTGACGTGCATTACCACTACGTTCGTGATAAATTAAAAGAAGGAGAGTTCGAACTCCTCTACGTCAAATCCGCAAACAACCTCGCAGACTTATTGACCGAAGCTCTTGCAAAACCTGCTCACCACCGACTATCTAACCATATCAGATGTGCTAAGCGAGGGGAAGTGTCATGAATGCGCTTTTCACATTAGTAGTAAATCGTCAT